GTCCGAAGTTAAAATAATCTTTAGAAATTGACTATTGGTTATAAAGTAGTCAATGCCTTAAAATGATTTGTTTTGACAACTGAATATCAGGTATTATATCAAAAATGCTTTCCAAAGGAATTTTACTGAAACTTACGCACAAGTAATATTTTTTCACGTAGATTTAACCGACTAAGTTTTAATTTTCTCATTTGTATTCAAAAGAAATCTTAGCATATTTTCTAGTGGTACTGCACAATTTCTTTTTAGGTCAAAACTGTCAGTTTGGTCTTAAAAGGTTTAAGAGCATTTGAAAGTCAGTCCTACCTCGATTTATTAGTGAAACCGTTACCGGTATCCATATTCCATTTGTCAATCACAAAGTAAATTTCATGCTTCGTTATGGTTTTATGTAAATTATTCATATTATGTCGTTAGCTTACACGTGGTTGTGGTTTTAATGATAAACGTCAAGGACTCCAACGTCTTGGTGTTTGAATGTAATTTTCAGCGCGTGCAGGATACGATGCTGACCCTAGATAAGGACCTAATTGTTAGAAAGGCGTGCATTAATTGCACCAAAGAGTTCCTTAATTGCGCTAAGCCCTCAAAGGGTCCCAAAAAGTGTCAAGTTGCGCAAAGCCCATGCCAATTTGGTGGGGTGAGTTGCCGGTAGAAGGAATATCCTTGTTTACGTGTCCTAACCTAACCTAACCTGCTCAATTGTACAGTCAAAGAGGGCCACCACTTGTCTTGGTTAAGGAACGTATCGGGTGACTCCCTGGAGTAGTTGGCGCAATTCAGGATTACCCGACTACGTTACTCAGGTCAGTTGGCGCAATTAATGCCCACACAGAAAACAATTCCTTAACTGCTATGCATGCTTAATTTTTAAACAGCTTGTACGTGGATTCGACGCAATTTAAATTTCATGGAAGAGTTGTTAACCTGTAGAATTGATACCCGCGAACAATATTTATGGTTTATTGGTTTATCCTCATTAATTTTATCAAATCATAGTTGGGACAAGATAACAATAATTAATTGAAAAATAATCACGCCTGTCGTATATTCGAATGATAAATAACTCGTTTCCAAATTATCAAGATTTCTGAAAGGATGCTATGAAGAGATTGTTGGCTTAACGTGTTTTCAGAGGCTTATAATCAGAACGTCAATTTATTTGTTTAAACCTTATGTTGTAAACTACACATTTATGTTTTCACTATGTTTTTAATCGATTATAAGCTGAAAAGTTGGTTAGGGTATAAAACGGTTTACTGGTAATACTTTAAACCAAAATCATTTAAACTGAGAAAACGAAAGTGTCGAATTAACGAATAAAACCAACAGTATTTTAATTAGTGAAAAAAAAGTATTAAAACATAGCAAAATGCAAATGAGAAATCTGACTACTACGGCTAACTTGAAAAAAAGTGGTCGAACGAGAAGTAAATAGAAGGAAACAAAATGGCGCCCAAGGACTCCCGATGGTCAGGTTCAAGGTTACTAATTTGGCTGGATAGAATTCTGTGGAAATCCTGATTGATGATTTCAAGTGAAATTTTTAATATTTACTTTTGGTACATTGATCGATCGTTCTTATTGGGCCATAGGCTACTTACCCATTGGTACGGGGCTTCATCTCTTCAGTGAGCATAGATTAAATTGACAATTTTGAACATTCAGGATCGATATGAAGAGCATTTACGCTAATCTTCAATTTGCTTTGATCCATCAGCTGAAGGACATGACAAAGTTATTTTATTACACCCCATTATACCAGTTATTTTATTACTTTGGAGAAGTAAATGATACTAATACATGCTAATACTCTTCAAATGCGTGATTTCAGCTATGCACTGTACGCAGTTAACAAGGTTCTTGTTATTGTCATTGATTGAGATGGAGACACCACTAGGTGCTTATTTTAACCCAAATATGAGTGAAGGATGAGTGTAGAATGGTGTGAGATCTGTGTAGCTTTGTTACTGACTAGGAACAGCTGTTTAATTTGCTATGATCATTTATTTCAAGCCCAATGATCAGAAACAACTGGGTCCAGTTTCGAACTATCATGAACTACTTTGTATTTTTTTTAGGGTCGAACTGGTGACCTTTTGATTGTGAGGTTAGGTTAGATTAGGTTAGGTGAGCACTATAACCATTCGGATTGTCTCACTAGCAGTTTTGCCCGTACTTTGTTTGTAACTTTGTACTTGAGTTTAGGCCTATGTTTGTAACACCCATCACCTTAAACTAGCTGAATTATTTCAATAGGTTTACCAAGCGCGAAGGACACGCATAAAGATGTTCTATTCATCTTTGAACAACCGAAATAATCTGTATACCCAGAAAAACCTTGAATCGAAACAGCTGTAAAAACAAAAGATGGTATAAGTAAGCAATGACTGATTCAGAATTGGGCCATTGCTGTTAGACAACCCACTTATCTTGTTGATAAACCATGACGATTAAAGTTCACCAGTTCAATGCACACAGTCTTGAATAACATTTAATCTACTCCTTGTGTTTTCAACAATGCGTTTTATGTTTTTGCAGGGGTTAAGGTTAACCTCACTCCCTCATTAGTTATATAATTTATGGTTGAGTAAGTGTTGAGTTTGTAATGGAATGATTACAGTTTTTATGTTTCAAGACTGTTGTGTGGCAACGCGTATGAGTATACAATTTTGTCTCTTGTCTCGTTGTTGTGTCTCATTATTGCTTTCCGTCGTATGGTAAATGTTTGCATAAAGGTAATTCAAGTCTTAGAGAATGGTACTTTTTAACTCTTATTGCTATTTGCAATTTTATTCAATGGCCTACCTAGTTACCTGAGTTATTCCAGTAAATGATTAATCAAACTATAAAAATAGATTAAAGTAGTAAACGTGTATGAAATGAAATTGTAGTATTATTGTATGAAATTTTTAATTTCTTAGATAAAATTCTCTAATAACCTTTGAGATATGGTTTTGTATCAAAGGCCCGGGGTCAAGTTGGGGCTAAAATACGGGTATAAACAGTTCTGTCAAGGCTGCAACAAACAAAATCGTTTTTATATTGGCAAAAAGAATAAAATTATATTTTGCAGGCATAAGTTTTAAAACATATGTTTATCTTGAAAATATTTTGCCCAAATTGCGAACTTTATTTTCTCCACACTATAAATACAAAAATATAATATAGGCTACTATTTTGAGAAAATATCTTTCATTCTGCGAAAATAGTTAGGATTTTTGTTTAGCAAGCGGTTGCCAAGCAACAACAACAATGCATAATACATCACCACTAATCTTTTGTTGCCACCTAACAAATATGATTGAGTGGGGTCAAAAATATCCTGGCCAAAAGTACGCATCTTGACTCGGTACTTGGAAATCCTTGGTACTTGAATGACGCTCGGGTAAGTGCATGACTTGCGACACAACACTACTGTTGACAGCTAGACTGACGATTATTGATTCATTTTGTTCACTCTCAGATGATTTGCGAATTTACAAGGTCTAGTACAAAAGGACACGTCAAAACAAAACGTAAGATTTATTAGCTGTACAAGTCATGATGTAGCTACGGTAACACTATATTTACATTTCAACACCTCAGTTTTTGTACAAAAAAATGTAAATAATAATTGTGTTCCATGTGTAAACATTGCAGGTTGTTAATCAGCTGTTTATATTGATTCATTGTTGTCGATTGTTATTATGTCAAACCATCACCTTTGGATTCTGCAAAAATACTCTTCATAAAAATTGTAAATCCTTGATGTATTGGCGCGGGTCTTGCAGCCAGTTAAGTTTGAGTTAGATGTTTTTAATCTAAATCAGAATGAATTGTACAGTAAGAGTGGCAATCTTTGGTTACATTTAGAGTCCAAGCATTGGTTCATAAATATGCCGTTTTGTTTGGTCGTAATAATTGTAAAACTCAGTAGAAAACTAATGTTCTGCAATGGAATATAATGTTCTGTGATTATTCATAGGTTGACAATTACTTAGAATACTTATCTGAATTTACTGATTTCAAATCTAGATCGTTTTGGAAGCTAATGCGTCTTTGTAATAGTCTGTAAATCCTAACCCTATTGCAAAGTAGTATATTTCGTACCTAGGGCCGAAAATGAGGTTTTGCTGGCTCGATATCATTTTTTAGTTCGAGACCAAGTTGAGAACTTACTTAGTAATAAAACACCGCACCATAATTGAGAAAATGTATACAATAAATGCTCACTAATGTGAAGAAATATTTTTAAAAATCAGCAGAAATAATAATAAATAGTTGCTAGGCAGCACAATAAAACAAGTCTATTGCAATGCACTGCTTGTGTATTTAATATACGTTAATGTTTTAAGTAAATAAGCGAACAGCTGATTTTCGGCCCTAGGGATGTAAAAACCTGCTCGGCCCCCAAATGACGATGACAGCTGGTATGGACAACAAAACTTAGCTTTCAGCCTCCAATAAACGTTTGTAAAAGAACTAAAAACATCATAGTGTGGTGAAAACTCGTTTTTCATATCAACTTTCAGTATATAGAGTTTCAATTATGCTCTATAAATTATTCCAAAAGTTGGCAGCTGTTGGTGAACATTGCCACAAGAGGAAATCTTCGATCGGCGAAGATCAGATGCAAGTTTCAGGGTCGTGAATGAAACAGAAACGTGCCTCATTGTATCACGTGCACGTGCTGAGGTTTGGAACGTGACTATTGCCAATGGACGTTACACGTTCAGGACATTATGGACTATCCGGACAATCGAACATATCGTAAAACGTGTTAGATGCTTTAACATATCGTAAAACTTAAAACTCGTGACTTTAAATGAATCAAATTTTGTTGTTAATATCATTGGTGTGTTAGAAATCCTGGTTGGGAGGCACTACAGTATATTTATGTAATTATTTAGTTACACTATAACAAAGGCTCCAGGACCCGAAGTTAAAGTCTCTCACCTTAAGTTCGTTATTGACCAATATAAATTTTAATAGGTCTATGAGTATATTTTAATACTTACTGGAATCCTGTGAGGATGTTAAGGAGTGTAGATTTGCCAGATCCTGAAGGACCCATTATGGCGGTCAACTCTCCGGAGACGAACCTTCCTGAAACTCCCTTAAGGACCTCCTTCGATCCTGAAAAACACAATGTTATTAGGTCTTTAACTTTGAACGCACTCCTGAAAATAGACATTTTTGTATTGAGGTATCTTTGGTGGAAATGTTTAAAGTTGTATGCAAATTGTAATATGTAATATGGGATTATCATAGCATGACGGATGGTGGTTCCCAAAAAGATTTATAAGACTAATATTCTATCAAACTATAAAATATCTATTTGATAAATAAATGCTGGTTGCACTTTGGAACACAACCTTTTGCCATTTATGAGTTAAAAATATGAATATGCAAGAATATTTTTTTTTTTAATTGGTAAAGAAGTTTAGGGAAATTTACATTCCGAAAGGAAACAATTTTAAATGTGAAAAAACGAGGCCAAGCTAAGGCAAGTAGGCAACACTTTATAAGTAGCTAATAAGGTTATAGTTAAAGAAAACCTATACAGTTAGGTAAAATCCAACTAAATAATCTCTGTAGTTTATTTCAACAATAATGAACACAAGATTATGCAATTTATTCTAATAGACTATAAGTATTGTATCGTTGAACTGTTGTAATGATGACCGAATGGGGGAATATTTATCTATAATAGTCACAGATATTAGTCAGTTTGCGCTTTATCAAACTTAAGTATGATTTCAGTAGTTTTAGGAACTATGGAATCAAATTTTTAATGTAGTATCATTTAATTATAATCATTTAGTTTTTTACAGTCTTACATTATTTATTTACACAACTATACAAAAAATACATGATTTCCCACTCGTTTTCCTCTACCATAACTTAACCGTAAACGAAAACATCAACGCCGAAATCCATTATAAAAATTAATAGGCAGACTCTTGATTATACTCTTAACCCCGAGGTCGTTCCTACGGAGATTCTAACGTCTTTTCCTCCTTAGACTTATTTAGAATTTGGTCGTGTATTAATTGCGCCAAAAGTTCCTCAATTGCGCCAAACCCTAAAAGGGTCGCAAAAATCTGTCCCAGTTGCGCCAAGCCCAAGCCAGGTAGGGGGAGTTTCTGGCAGAAGGAATGCCCTTGTTTACGTATCATCCTAACCTATACCAACATAACCTAACCTAACCTATCCTTACCTAACATATCGTAACCTACTCAATTATGCAGTCAAAGAGGGTTACCACTTGGGACGTAACTTATCGCGTGGCTCCCTGGAGTAGTTGGCGCAATTCATACCCACCCTCGAATTTTGCCATTGAGTTAGTAAATAAAAAAATCGCCAAAGTGCGTCAGGATTATTTTACTCGTGATTAAATTTACCTCGGTTTCGTACTGTTTGAGTTAGTAACATAAACACACAACAGTGTTGCGAAACACCAATTTAATTACAGATGCTTCGCCGCACTGTTTGTTTGGTTTTGTAATTTCCCGAGCGATTTGTGGAATTATGTTACATTCATAATTAACACTGAAAGGTTCAACAGGAGTTCAATTACTAATTGATATTGTAGTTTGATATTTTGTAAAGTAATATCTTGTTAGTTTAATTAGCCTATTAGCTTTGACTATTAATACAAATTATTAGTGTAGTGTTATATACCACATTTGTCATTGGGAGACTAATTTTAGGAAAACTGCAATTTAGCACAGACTATAGACCGTGACCATAGACTATTGTCCGTGATTTTAGTTAGTTCTATATTTAATTCCAAGATACTCATAGAAGAGGGTGTCCCAATTTTATTACTTGTTTACTAAGTTTTGCCCATCTCTAAGGGGTACATTTATTTTCTTTTTTATTTATTTTAGAAACCACAATTATATTAGAAATTTAAATGTCAACAATACAAAAATACAACCACGCGAATCGAATTCGGTCAAAATATGTCGATCCATCAACGAATCGGCGTAAAGATAAATTCTCCTCTATTAAATATGTTTTTATTCAATAAATTATTGTTTACCTAAATTGTGTTTTTATTCGAAAAGTGTATTAACAGCGCACGTGTATTAATCACTAAGAAGGTTGTGCCTTGAAATTTATCAATAAATAATGAACAGTTGTGGAATTTGGGTAGCGTACCTAGTAGAATTTAACATTCCTAGACATTATTTAAGTTCGTTTAAGGTTTTTTGCAGGAAAAAATCATTGAATACAATTCAATGGCACGTTACAATTGTATAAGACACCTACCATAGCTAGCCTATCTACTTTATAAATGTCACATTTTCTCATTCTATGCCACTAAGCTCTAGCCTGTAAACACCAAGTCTTTGGTACTTGGCGAGATTCGAACCCGTGACCTCGGAGACCGAAGCCTAGCGCTCTACCAATAGAACAGTTCTCTCTTTAACCCTCTCATCTACTCGGGCACTAGACTGAAACTGTAGTTATGTAATCTATGCATAATTATAACCATTATATCACAGCTTGCTGGGTCACAGAGAGTCTAATTAACATTAGTGGTCAAGCGTCCATGACATTGTCGGCCTTCAGACCGTGCACATCCTTCGATTGTTGCCAACATTGCAGTATTTTGATTCAAAACGTCAATTGTATAAACATAATTATACCTAATTGCATTCAGGTCGACATTTACGGATTTTATAGTCGTGGTGTAGAATATAGACATGAAAGCTGGTTCTATGCACATTGTAACCCAAATATGAGTGAATAATGTTTGGACTGGAGTGAGGAGATGTTTCTAGCTTTGTTACGGACTAATAACTGTTGTTTCTTATCCAGGACCGTTAATAAGAATCTTTATGATCCAGTTTAGAACCATACGTTTCTCAATCGTAATTATTTCAATACTAAACGAGCACTTTAGCTAATCAGATTCCAAGCTATTTTTTAGAGTAGCAGCAGTTAGTTTACTATATACCATATAGTAATAGTAGCCGAACTGAAACTGGTCGAAAAACTGTCCCTAATAGAAGACCTGTTCCTAACTCAGGACTGTCCTTAATTTCGAGAAAACTGTTAATGTTAATTAAGGAAGTGTTGCATTTATCTTTTTTTTAACAATGAAAACATCAAAACAATTGTCTAAACTACATTCACTATTGATTAAAAAAAATGCAACCGTTACAGTGTTCAAGATATAACAAATTCGGTGATTTTAGATTTATTTTTGTTAATATCTTGCCAGAATGCTCTAGACACAATCAAAACTATCTTTAATTAATACTACGACCATTTCGAAGTCCCTTTGTAACGTAACTATATACCATAACAAAACTCCATAACTGACCCAAACTCGCAAAGCACATCACAAGATGTCTGACTTCCGTAAACAACTTGGACATTTTCGGGGTCACTGGGGTAGACAATACAGGAAACGTTTAAGTCAATAAACCTATTACGAATCTCCTTAATTACCTCCCCGTTAACGCTACAGTGTTTCTACCGACAAAACAGCTGTTTGTCTCGCTACTTTAATGGCATTGTTGAACAAAATTAATGTCTCACAGCTGAGAGCGATCTGTCTTTGTTGATTTGAACGTTACGACTCATTAGGCACGTCTGGTAAATATTTAGCTGTAAGTGAAAGTGCGAAATTAAGTTCACGTGTTGAAAGTTTAGGTTACTTGGAGATAACTATCTGGTAAACAAAGATGTTAATAGTTTTGGCACCTACAAATATCATCGAATTGCTATTTTAAGATTTAACGAGTTTGTTCGGTTATTGAAGCTAAGTATCTGTTGTTTTTGTAATTTGTCATCTTTTGTAGTCATGAGTTGCACCATAGACCGTCAGCTGTGCTGCAGATACCATAAATTCTGGCGACAACCGCTGGGAGCGTCATGTAGTTATGGCATACGCGCTAAGTAACTACCGTAACTACACGGCGCTCCCAGTGGTGTGCGCCAGAACCTATGGTAACCATAGTAACCACAACACGGCTGACAGTCTATATTTAACTATGTTTGTCTCGTGTTGGATTAAAGTACACAAAAAGAAGGTGATGGAAAACACTTCGAATATGATATTCTAGCTGACAGCAGTAACAAGATCTTGTAGAATTTGACTAACAGATATGATCCCTATGCTTCATACTAACTTACCTCGTCAAAATCGTGATTTAAATTTTTCACGGTATTGTTCAGTACAATTATAGAGTAGGCTGGTAACCTTTCCTTTTTCAAGTTTTTAATGTATACTAATAGGAAACATCTTTGGCGACTGCAAAAATGCTTTTGTGTCTGTGTTTCAGGCAATGAAATTCCTACGTTTTCTCTCTGCTGGTTTTGCAATAAGTGAATTTATAAGGTCGTATTATGTTTGTAGTACACAATAGCTATGCACAAGCAAACGTAATCGGGTGTTGAACAAAACGTCTTTGTTCTCGAAGTTTTGTCAATTCTGTACTTTTCTCTGGAAAAATCGCGTATGATGCTTGCTAGTGCAATATACGCAATCGATTCGACGACACCTAAGTGTGTGTTTATCTATAGGTAGTGTAAGCTATTAAACTTTTACTAAACTATTCTGTGTTATGGGATACTATTGCTATTACTGTCATGGGACGAGGCCTGATCAATCTGGCAAATATCACTGGTGGCAAATAACACATATTCATGGTCACTACCCCGCCCCCATTGAGCCAAAAGGTGAGTTCTTTAATAAATTTTAAAACCTGATATACACAAATCAAGAAACAAGAAGAAAGACTTCAACCATTTCTGTTTTAAAAAAAGTTAATGTGTTGAAATTTTAAACATTTATCATTTCCCGAAATCTTATTTATTTTGAGCCTAGACCGCGCCTGAATTGAGTTTGGTCTGATGTTATATTCAGAAGAAAATAGGATCAGGTCCTTTATATTAGTCCAAGGTCACCTTGCGAATATCAGCAGCCTAATTGTACGGTATCCTGCAGATCAATGAGGAAAATACTGGCTAAAACTCCCAAGGGCGCGCTCTATTTCGCTCGTAAAGTTTATTCTGTCGTCGCCACAATTTTGCAAATACGGCGGATTTCATTTGCAAAATTACATAAATGGAAAGATATTTGTATAGGAGTTTTGGGGAATTAGAGGTGTAAGAAT